TAGGGGGTTATATAGGATAATGGAAAACAACATGGAAACCACTATTTAGGGTTAAGGGTTCTGGCAATGCTGGGTCTTTAAGTTGAGGGATGCAAGGGGACCGCAATGGTCAGATTTTCCCATTTGTATAAGTGCTTCATGAAAAAGTCAGGCTGTAACCTTCAGTGCTTCTTTGCACTGAGGCGATACTTGATTCCTCGCAGCCTTCTGGCCGACGACGAGTGCCTGAGGATGAGTATGGGGAGTACCAACTGCGATGGTCTGCGGAGGACCAGCGCAAAGCTATTCAGAGCCCGCTGCTTCCCTCCTCACAGACGGGGCGTCAACCCGATGCTGTAATCCGAGCTACACTGAATCATTCAGCTCTGCCCGGATGGTGTGCCCTACGGGCATGTGCCAGAGTCGTGCGGGTGACTGTAGACTCACATGTAGCGCGGACGTTCAAGAATTTCATTTACAACGACTACTGGTTCCAGCAGCCTGTCTCTCTTTGAGCTGTAGTCTAAACTCCTTAAAGGGGGTTATATAAGGGATATATATAGGGGTGTACTATAGGGGTTATACAGGGGGAGGCTAGGAGTTTAGATTCTAGCTCATGTGGCATGTGTTTTTGCAGTCTGTAAGCTTCTTGTCCAGGGACCGATTCTGCTTGGCTCCCAGCCGGCCCAGAACTTCCACTAGAATGTATGATGAATCCTTTATCAATTCAAGTTGAAGGTTGCGAGAACCACCTACGCCAATATGTTAACATCCCCTAAACCCTAACCCTGATTTCAGGAGACCCCAAGTCCCCCACATTCCCGAAAATATGGGTAGTTACCAAAATGAATTAGGGTCCCATTTTGGTACCCCTGAATTTTAGGTGCCGTAATACAATATACAACCAAAAGGGACCCATCATTCTCAAACAACCCATATGTATCTCCTGGTGCCCCAAACTAGGTGGGAGTATGGCTCCAACAGAAGCGGATCGAAGCCGCAAACTCGGCTCGCGAAACTTGCTGCTGGTAAGGGATGGGGGAGGAGGAATAGATCGTTATACTGGGCCCTAACCTAGACCCAAAACCCATAATCCCCAAGACGGTGGTATCTTCCATTTTCTTTTCTATTCCTCCGTACTTTTGTCTAAACTCCTTAAAGGGTTAAGTGGGGGATTATATAGGGTACAACTATAGGGTTATTAAGGGGTATACTAGGAGTTTAGACTATAGTCCCTGTATAGTTGCTGCTAAGGCAATGTCTTGATTCCAAACACAAACTAAGCCCTGAAGCCTAAGCCTTCGGCAAGGAGAGAGTTTCCGCTTTCTTGTTCATTCCTTCATGGCCCAACCCTAAATGGTACAATAGCTTGCTTTTTTTGCAAGGCCCTTAAGCCTAAGCCCTAATTAACTTGTAGGGGTGCCCATTTTCTTATCCCTACCTTCATTTCCCAAGCCCTAAACCCCTGGAAAGTTTACCGCGCCTGCGGTGCGATGGGCCTGTTGAAGCCCTAAACCCTAAACCATAAGGAAGCGACTCTCCCGTTTCATGTCCAGCCCCAACCATCAGAGCCTCTTCTCCTACATGGTGCCTTGGCTTTGGATTACGTTATACGTAATGTTTTATGTGAGGTGCCTATAGAATTCCCAAGAGGGACGTCTATGCCGCCAAAATAACCCCTTGGCCCCGTAGGTGCCCCTACTTTCAAAACCCCCCAAGACACCCAGGGATGTGTAGGTTTTTTCAGGGATGACATGGCCATGGGTTCAAAGTGGACCTTGGCACCGTTAAGCCGACAAAGATTCTTGTGGCACAACAGCTAGAGTCTAAACTCCTTAAAGGGGGTGATATAGGGGACACTATAGGGGAGTATTGTCAGGGTTATCAATGGGGATGCTAGGAGTTCAGATTGTAGCTCACATGAAGCCTTCGCTGTAGGTTCCTGTACGGGTCGGCGTCTGTGGACTATTTCTGGTTTGGGGTTTAGGATTTACAGATCTCTGGGGATGTGCAGGGTCAGTGTAGGGTAGGGGTTCCAAAGCATATCGGAGGCTCCTAAAATCTGAAACCCTAAGCCCGCGTCTGTGAGCAATATCCTAATGTCTCCAAGGATGTTTCAAAAGCTCCTGTGGAAGCACTTCAGGACAAGCAGAGAATTTGTATCATCACTTTGTCGGCCGGCAAGTTGCACATTTCTCCAGGGGATTCCTGCACGGCCTCTATGAATGAAACATATTGTCAAGATGGACGGAATTCTGTGCATATCCTTGGGCAGAATACTACACTACGATAATTCCTGGTCTAGGGTATGGCGCAGAAGGTGAGAACTCTGTCACGAGCTTTGGGAACTGTGTGTCAAACAGGGCATTGGTTCAGGGGAAGCGGGCTCCGCTGTCAACAGGATTATGCAGGAAGGATTTGTCCTGCAAAATGGTGGGAGCCTTCATGGGTTGAAATGCTTTCGCTCATGTTCTCTTGTCCAGAGTGGTGTGCCTCAGAACCTTCTTCCGGACTGTAGCTTCTTGGAGCGGCCTGGAGCACATTGGAGCAGTTCATTTTTATTGTGAAGTTGGCCGCAGGACGCGGATGTGCAGACGGCCATCTCTCGAATGCCCAGGCTACAGGACTGCTCACATTTGCAAGCGAACCACTTTTCAGAACCTCGCGAGCCGGCCAGTGCATGGAGATTTCCAGATTTTTTTTTTGTTGGCCTTGCGAGGGTTGGTTGATGCAATCTGAATGTAGTTTGAGCCATCCCCGACAAACCCTAGACCCACTTGGGCCAGTCTCGGATCCGTCCCAGCTGATTGATACGAGAGGTATTATTAGTTTTTTTTGCCCTGCACGGGTCTAGCAAGTCTTGTGCAGGTCTCATTTGGAGAAACATGCAAGCAGCTGTAGAGTAACAAAGTGAGGATGATAGTAGAAACTTCTTGGAAACCGTAGAGACGCATAGAAATAGAAGAACTTTCAATACGAGTAGCACAACCAGCAAGAGAATGATGTTGATGGTGTGAATAGCAATATTGGTAGCTATTTGCACACACATTACATTGTTCTGGCAATGGCGGAGGATGTGGTCTTTCCTATCGATGGATGGGCCCGGTCGGCAGACCGCTCGAAGTTTCTTTCCTGTTTGCCTCCGGGCGCCTCTGCTTGGGGTCGACGGGTGTAGCTGCACCTTGTGGAGTTGTGGAGCTCATGACTATTAGGAGTTTCTCAAGTCTACTGGCAGCATACTTGTAACTTCTATGATTGGAAACGGAGCACAGTGAATGGCATTTTTGTGAGTCCAAGGGGCCTATTACTTTAGAGAGACAGAGCAGAGCCAGAACACTGGCAGTGAAGACACTGCCTTAGAAGTGTTCTCTCTGCAAGCATTCAGAGCTTTTGGCTGGGAGATGAACTTCTGGGTTGCCGAGGGGAACTCAAACAGAGTTGAGGACAGAGTTACTAGAATACAGCTAGTAGGTGGGGATTTCCGTAAGTTGGGGGTCCCTTTTTGGGGTACCTATAGTAAAGTGAGGAGTACAGTATTTTGTGGTCTGTATTGGGGTCCCCTATTTATGGAAAGTACCATGTAGTAAAGAAGAGGCTGTCCTCAGAATAGTAAGCAAGCTTCAGTTCCTTAACTACAACGCCGACTCCTCTATGCACGCCCATGAATAGCAACTGCGTCACCTTGCACTCAGCTCTGAGCGCTAGCAGAGGTGTAGATGAAATGTCCAGTAGTGTGCATGTGCAGACCTAGTGCCCTGAAATCTGGGAGGATGGTCTTCACAGAAAACGGGGGTCAGGCAGAGGTGGAAGCATGCTAGGGCTCGGTAGCAGGCGCCTGCCAAGAAAATGGAGCATATTACGGTGGCCTCAAGATCGTTGCTGTCACTGTTGTCCACTCGAATAGCAAGGCTCGAGCTACAAAGCATTTACACTGTTCTTGGCGTTGCCTACAGTGCTAGTATCATTCTGGTTCCGAATCTTGGCACCAAGACCCCCGTGTTGCATGTTTTGCTGGCTTGTAACCACCTCCCCCCAATCACACAATTGCAAATCCATGCCTAAAGCTTTCAAGATTGTACCATCTTAGTTAGGGAATAACAGTGTTGGGGCGGATGGGAGCGTTTGTTATAGGGTAAGGTAACCCTTACATGGCATTCAAACACGATCATCCCAGGTTTCATAGCATTGTCTTTTTGATTTTGCATTTAGTGCACCATATTGGGGGGAGGTGAGGTGTTGGAATCGGTGTTCGCCAGCAACAAGCACTCCAGGGAGGAGAACGAAAAAAGAAAGACAAAGTCAAACTTTGTCATTGTTTGAATGTCGTTATTACTTGTGCAAGGTGGTGGTGGCGGTGGCGGTGGTGGCAGTGGTGGCAGCAGGTGGTGGTGGTGGTAGTAGAAGTAGTAGTAGCGGTGGTAGTAGTAGTAGTAGTAGTAGTAGGAGGAGGAGCAGCAGCAGCAGCAGCAGCAGCAGCAGTCGTAATTAGTAGCCGCCCTAAAGCCCTCAACTGTGAACTGTGTTTTGACTGGGCAGTAAACATATGCTTCATGTGATCTAGCCCACCTGGCCTACAGGACCGTCAATGTAATTCTGTGCCTGGCAATGAAGAAGATCCCTACTGAAGCATGGGAGCTGTTAGGGTCAGGGGTCTGATGTAGGGAAGCATCCACCGGGATACTGGGTCTTCGGGGATCATACAAGGACTTAGGGTTTTCAGAGTTCTCAGAAAGAGGGCTTTCGCTGAGAATCTGTTTTCGAGTAGCTGCAGAGTTTTAAATCTTGGTATGAGCATTCATCAGCCAAAACAAGCGGGTGTCTGCACAGGGATGATTGACAGAAATTTGTGGCTGGAGGAGATCTGTCACAAATGAGGACCTTCCGACCTATTTTTTTAGAAAGATTTTAGGTATTTCCGTTGATGCAAGGTTTGTTTTAACCAGAGTATGGAGCTATGACGAGGAGGACTTCCCAGATGTCACATGCTAAGGGCCCTGGAACTAAGCTCAGCTCTGGGCAACATGAAGGTGGGTCACGTCACCCAAACCCTAAACCCCAAAGCTTAGACCCCAAGCCCAGGTCCGTCGCCTCTGGGTCAAGGAGGGCCTGAAATTGAGTCCCTCTAAGGCGGGGCCCAAAGGGGTTGTAGGGTGCTAAGGGGGGGTTTTTGGGGATAAGGGAATATATCATAGGTTAAGGGTTTAGGCTTACGGGGCCAGTAGGGAATAGGGGAACATAGTCTATAGGGATCATACAGGGATTGTACTCCCTTATTCCCTACTACAAGCGCCAGGAAGCTGAAAGGGTTATGAGGATGCATAGGTATGTATATGGTATACGCAGATCTTCAGGATTTAGGATTTAAGTTTTAGGGTCCAAGTCTGTGTTCGTGCCTAGATGCAAGAGCGGTTCCAATACCCAAGCATGCTGGGTTCCCCTTAAAGGGGTTATGTGCGATGCGTAGCGATACATGTACGGACCTATGTAGGTATCTTTTCGGACAGGGTATATTGGGGGTCGAAGTCCCCAAAAAACAGTATTTGGTATTTTGGTAGTAGTAAGCAAGGGTCCATACAAATTGCATCGGGTTAAGTTCGGAAGTTTGGAATGGGGTTTCGTGCAAGTTTTTTTTGCTTTGCTTTGCCCTATACAGTGTGCATCCGCCTTCGCTTTAGGGTTCAAGGTTTGGGGGCTGGGCTCTGGGTTTGATGTCGGGCCTGGGGTGTCCATAGGGTCTTGTCTGAGGTAAAAGGGATTCATAAAAAGGCAACACAGGGGGGGATTTTGGACGCCGCACAGTAGGATTGCAGGAATTGTTTGGAGAAATGCCTTCCAATCCTTCCAAGCCTCTTTACCATCCCCCATGTCAGCCGGATAGTTGCCGTATGCCTACAAGCACCATTTTGAAAGCCTGAACTCCTTACCTTGCCCTCTCCCAGCAGTTCGTACTTATACATATCTCAGCCATAATCTCAACTCCTTATAGGGGGATTATCTAGGGGATTACTATAGGGGTTATTGAGGGGGATACTAGCAGTGTAGACTATGATTACATCCCTCTTTTCCATGCATGCCGCACCAGCCGGGCAAAAACCCCTAAACCCTAAACCCCTAAACCCTAAACCCTAAACCCCTAAACCCTAAACCCTAAACCCTTAACCACAACTGCTTTCAAAACTCCAGGATGAGCAGCAGGCTGCTTCTTAAATTTGTTTGCGTCCCAAATTTTCACAGGTTTCCTCAGGTTCTACCGGGAAACCTTTATCACCCCTTTTTCTGAAAAAAGTCACATGGACATGGTAGGACATTGCAGGACATTGCAGAAGTCTTTGAGAATGTTTCTTGTTGTTTCCCCCCTCTCCCTTTTCCCAATCTTGGAAGACGGTACGCGCGCCTGTAGAAGCAGAAAACTCTTGCTTGCTTTGAGGGAAATAGAAGGTTTTATGAAGTTTATGGTTCCAGGTTGAGGGTTCAAGTTTTAGGGCTTAGGGTAAGGGGTTGCAGGCTTAAGGTGTAGGGTATTCTCCCCCAAGAACCTCATCCTAGCAGATCCTCAGCAAGCCACAGTAGCATTGTGGGTTAGCCCGCAGTTACTGGCCCCTAGATCCCAACAACCTCAAACCCTAGACTCAAAAACCACACTAAACTTGAAAAATCTTCACCTTCAGGCGATGGACTTGAACCGCCGCTTTGCAGTTGGGGTCAACCGCATTCTCCGCCTGGCCGAGCGCGCCTCTGGCGAAGCGAGCGATATTGCCAGCAACGAGCGCCCTGGCTGTGCTAGGGCGTGGTCAACTTGGAGATGGACAATTATGGGGGTTTCCTAAAATTAGGGGTACCATTTTGGGGGTCCCCATAATAAGGACTATAGTATAGTGGGGTCTACATTGGGGTACCCTAATTTTGGGAAACTACCATATGATGGAGGTTTGAAGCAGGCGAAGTGCATAAGCCTTCTTATAACCATCCATGACCCTCCCAATAGGGTTTGGGGTTGTACGGTTCAGGGCTTAGGGTGTCGGATGCTTGTGTTAATTTTGCCCGTCTCCGAGCAGTAGTTTAGTTGGCAACCGCGTTGGGAAGCAACCTGCAGAGAACACGAGAGACAAAGAGCCATCATCGTGGCAACAGTTGGCAACCTTCCACACACACCTGGCACCTGCACATGCTCAGACTAGCTCCTATGTGCTCCTTGCAAGGATCCCCTGTCATCCGATAACAACCCTTCTGGAAATCCCTGTGCTTCTCCAAATGCCGCTCTTTAAAGGCATCCACTCAGCAACATGTGTTGAGGGAACCCTTGTGCGGAGAGTGCACAGGTGCATTCACCATTGTTGGGAGCCTTGCTGTTCGCCAGACAGGGGTGAACAAAAAGGAATTCCGGACGGAATATGAGTAGAGAGAAGCAGGCAGGATGTGAACAGGCGGGTGCCCTACGTACGGCGCGTAACAGCTGAGATATTTTCTATGAGCATGATGTACACAGGTAGAGATTTTGAAGGCCGGAGGCCTGTAGGTGGCAGTTGGTACCAGGTTTTCAAGACACAGGCACAATGCCTATCAACGCCTGCCTCATGCTGGGCTCACCATCGGCTCATGTCGGGCTCATTCTTAGGTTATCAACCCATATTGGCCCGCAGATGATGCATGCTGTTCTTGCAGAGGATACTTGCCCAAGATCTACCAGCGGAAAATCAAGAGCGCGTGGCTCAGAATGCGCGTGTTCCGCTGGAAGCGCTGAGGATTGATGGACGTTGCTAACAGTGAGCAACTTACACAGCTCGATGCACTTTGCTGGAGTACTGCTAAGGCCCTTATCCAAGCAAGAGTTGCAAGCTTTCCAGGACTCCAAGTTGTGCCTTGGTCATGCCTGTAAATACGTTGTAATGCCATTGTGTGCATTGGCTCTGTGTTGCAGGAGCTCCGAACCGAACTGGAAGGGCTTCTCGGAGTGGTTTTGCCATGTGGGGGTATCCGACAGCTGGGGGTCTTTTTGATGAATGTGTTAGTGTTTGGGTCATCTACTGGTACCTCAATGAGACTACCATGTTGGTGCATGAATTGAGTCCGCGGTCCGCGGTGTGCAACATGAGCTGTGTGGCAAAGGTACATGCAGACGCTGAAGAAGCTGGGGATTCGGGATCACCAGGTCGGATCTCTTGCTTAGCACGGAAGCAAACCTAACACGTCATATACCATAAATGGGGGTGCTTGTCTACCCCAAGCAGTATGTTTGCATTCCGGAACTCCTCAAGAGAGCGCCTGACTTTTGGAAACACTCAACACTCCTACGGCAGCTTAAAGCTGATAGGCATAGGCCGTCCACCTCTTGGCCTGCCATATCCTTATGTCAGCGGAGATGGCGACAAGAGTGGCGGTGATAGTATAGTAAATGCATGAAAGTAATCGTGCTAGTAGTGTTGGTAGTGGTGGTGGTAGTAGTAGTAGCAGCAGTAGCAGTAGTACTAGCGGTGATAGCACTAGCAGCAGCAGTGGCGGCGGCGGCAGGGGTGTAGTCGTTGTAGTCGTGGTAGCGTTCGTCGGCGGCGGCGGCGTCGTCGTCAACGTCGTCATGAGGGTCGTCGTCGTCGTCACCAATACCGTCGTCGTGAACGTGGTCTTGGTCGTCGTCGTCGTTGTCGACGTCATGAACGTCAACCTCGTTGTGGTCGTCGTGGTCGTCGCGGTCGGCGAGGTCGTCGTGGTGGTCGTGGTGGTGGTGGTGGTGGCGGTGTCTGTCGTGGTCGTTGTCGTGGTCGTGGTCGTTCGTGGTGGTGGTGGTGGTGGTGGTGGTGGTGGTGGTGGTGGTGGGGGTGGTGGTCTTGGTCGCGTGGTAGTGGTAGTGGTAGTGGTAGTGGTAGTGGTAGTGGTAGTGGTAGTGGTAGTGGTAGTGGTAGTGGTAGTAGAAGCAACAGGAGTAGCAGTAGCAGTAGCAGTAGCGGTGGCAGCAGCAGTAGCAGTAGTGGCAGTAGCAGTAGCAGTGGCAGTGGCAGTAGCAGTAGCAGTAGCCGTAGTAGTAGCAGTAGTAGTATTACTAGTATTACTACTACTACTACTGCTGCTACTACTACTGCTGCTACTACTACTACTACCACTACCACTACTATTACTACTACCACTACTATTACCACTACTACTACTACTACTATTATTACTACTACTACTACCACTACTACTACCACTACCACTACTACTAGGCACATTTTA